GCATTCCTGTTCTTTCTCTCCCCTTTTCTCCCTCCTCCTCTATTCCCTTCCCCGCGTGGCATTCCTGTTCTTTCTCTCCCCTTTTCTCACTCCTCCATCCCTCCCCACTCCTTTCCCCCTCTCCCTCCTCCTCTATTTCCTTCCCCGTGCGCGGTGTACCTGGCTTTGATGATGGGCAGGTGAGTACGGTGAAGATGGAGGGGTCGGCGTACCTGGCTTTGATGATGGGCAGGTGAGTACGGTGAAGATGGAGGGGTCGGCGTACCTGGCTTTGATGATGGGCAGGTGAGTACGGTGAAGATGGAGGGGTCAGCGTACCTGGCTTTGATGATGGGCAGGTGAGTACGGTGAAGATGGAGGGGTCGGCGTGTCCGTACGAGACAGTGTTCATGCTCATGAAGTTATCCATGTCGTACTTGTACGGCGCGTAGTTGCCGTGCCAGGCGACGACGTCAAACGGCGAGTGATCCTGAAACAACAGAGCATTCGGCGTCGATGAACGAATCCCGTGTCGATGCTCGTCGAAAATTTCGTTCTCGAGAAATTTTTTGTATGTTTTTTTTTGCGTCGAAATCGTACGTTTCCTTTAAGTTTTAGTTTTGCAGAAATCGTACGTTTCGTTGAAATTTTGGTTTCGTCGAAAATTTGTTTCGTCGCGATTGCGAACTTTATCGAAATCGTACATTTCTTGAAGTTTCGATTTTGACCAAATTGCGAATTTCCTAAACACTGTCAACTTTACGACGAAAATGTGCATTTGAGGTTCTGAAATTTATGCCACAGCGCACACACTTCTTTCAGCGTCATTGTTTTCTTACCTTACTGCTATACTTTCGGCGTTTAACAAAATTCCCGACTACAGTTGGTATAATTCTACGAAGTAGAGTCACGCAGGAGGAAAGGCGAAGATGTGTGGGTGGGAGCCTGATGTACCATTTATTGGGGGAGGGGTTTTAATAGCTGAGTGGGCTGGGGACCGGGCCATAAACACCATTTATTTGGAGAGGGGTGTTGAATTAGCTGAGTGGGTTGGGTCCATAACACACATTTATTGGAGGGTTTGAATATCTAGATGGTGTAGCATCAATACACCATTTATTTGGGGGGGGTTTATATTTCTAGCATAGTGGGCATACACACCTATTATATTGAGAGAGCGGGTTTGCATATATCTAGATGGGTGCAGAGTCATAATCACCAGTGTATTGGCGGGGTTTGAATATCTAGATGGTGGTAGCATAACACACCATTTTATTGGGGAGGGGTTTGAATATCTAGATGGTGGCCAGCATAAACACACCATTTTATTGAGGGGAGGGCTTGCATAGCTCGAGGGCGTGCGGCATAATACACCAGTTTATGGGCGGCAGGCGGTTTGATATCGTGATAGTGGGGGCAAGTACACACCAATTTATGTGAGCGGGAAGGGTTTTAATATCTAGCATGGTGGTAGATAACCACCAGTTATTGAGGGCGGGGGAGGCAGGGCGTGTTGAATAGCCTGAGGCGGTGCGGGCACTAACACACCATTTATTTTGGGGGGGGGGGGTTGATAAGTTGACAGTGGAGCCGCTAACACGCATTTTGTGTGGGCGAGACGGGAGGGTGTAAGATAAGGCTGCACCTGCCCACTGTATTAAATGCTTCAAACATTTTTCAAAAACAGAAAAAGAAAGAACAGTAAACGTCGAGTGAGATACAGGCCAGCAGGGGGCGGCCACATTCGGCAGCAGAGCGGTGCTGCCACAAACACAGCGGCGCAGCGCGACAAGTTTGGAGCACAGCCGTGATTGGCTGGCAGATGCGCGCACCAAGTTCGCAAGACTGGGTGCATGCCTCGGCCAGGAGGGCGCCACACGGAGTCAGCAGAGAGCGCCACCGATGCCGGCCAGGGGGCGCGCGCCGCTGCACGTTACCTGGAGCGCGAGAACAGGTGGCCCTGGTACTTGTGACGACTGGCGTACTCGTTCGACGTCCAGATCCTCGAACCACGCGCGCTGGCGTGAGAATAGTCCGCGGCGGTTCGCGAGCTCCCAGTTAGCACCTGCGCTACGAGCATTGGTCGTTAATTACGGACGCGAGCGGGGGGCAGATAGGTCGTTAAACTAGCACGCGCGATGGTATGTTGGTGGCGAGCTGTTAATAGAGCGCGGCCGTTAATTAACGGACAGAGCGGGGGGGTCAGTTAACGAGCGTGCGGCATGTGAGTTGGGCAGGCTGTTAACGAGCAGATGCTAATAGAGAATTAGATGGTTAATTACAGGCCTAGGTGTTTTTTTTGTTTTTTTTTTTCTTTAACGAGCAGATTAAATTAACGAGCACAGCCGTTAATTACAGGGTGGTTACACGCATGCAGATAATAACGAGCACAACCATATAATACAGAGCTGTGTTACGAGCACAACCGTGTAATTACGGGCAGGTCTTTTACGAGCAGCATGCTAATTATTGGTAGGGTGTAACGAGCACATCATTAAGTTAGCGGGCAGGTTGTAACGGCATCGAACATTAAAAAGACGGTTAACGAGCCGTTGGAGGTGCATTATGGCTGGCATTATAATGGAGCCATGGCTGTTAACTAGTGGGTAAACATTAGTGAAAAAGGTGTTAATTACGAACAGCTATTAAAACGTAAACGGTGATGTTAAATAACAAACAGGAGCTTTTTAAAGCTTACATGTGTTAATTTACAAATCAGCCGTATTAAAAGAAAAGAGTTGAAACGAAAAGACCGTTAACGCCAGCTTGGAGGGATATGGCAGCATTAAATGGCATGGGCTGTTGATAGTGGCCGTAAACATTAGTGAAAGTGTTAATTACGAACAGCCCTATTAGAGTAAAGTGTGTTAAATACAAACAGAGTTTAAAGTACAGGTGTGTTCATTACAAACAGGCTATTAAGTAGCAGGCTGTGTTACATACGAACAGCGTATTAAAGTACAGGGGTGTAAATTTATGAACAGGTATTAAAGTAGAGCTGTTGTTAAATTACGAACAGGTGATTAAGAGTACAGGCTGTGGTTAACTTAACAAACAGGTATTAAAGTACAGGTGTGTTAAATACAAACAGGTATTAAAGTACAGGTGTGTTAAATACGAACAGGTATTAAAGTACAGGTGTGTTAAATATGAACAGGTATTAAAGTAGAGGTGTGTTAATTACGAACAGGTATTAAAGTACAGGTGTGTTAATTACAAACAGCTATTAAAGTACAGGTGTGTTAATTACGAACAGGCATTAAAGTACAGGTGTGTTCAATACGAGCAAACATTAACGAGCACTGGGTGTTATAATTACATGCAGGCATTAACGAGATGCATTAATTACAGATGGATATTAACGAGGAAATCGGCAGAGGCGTTAATGAGGACAATGCAGGTATTAGCGAGGCGGCGAGGTCTTAACGAAAGAAACACCATTAACGACAATGTGGTAAATTATGAAAAATAACGTCTGCCGCGATATTTGCGATATGTTCATCGGAACTCAACAAAACTGCCATCAAATGCTGACGTGGACGATCGACGATCGTTGGCAATCGGTAATTAATACAAAAAACACTAACGCCGCGATGCGATTACAATGCAGGATATTTCACACGGTATTTGACGCCTCAGAATTACAGTACGAGATGTGTGTAAATTGTTGTGAGAGGCGAGGTCAGAGTTCATCCCGGGACCACACTACCCCGGCTCTCTCTCACGCATCTTATCTCCCGCCAACATAACACCAGGAGCCGGTTTCACGAAGCGTAATCAAGTCCTTAATCATGATTAAACCACTAATCATTATTAACCTCCCGTAATTAAGTTGAAGTGACTGTTTCACAAAGCGTAATTAACTTTAATCATGATTAAGTTAATCACAACATTTAATTCTACTCAGGAGCATGATAAAAGCCACTAATCATAATTAGTTGCTAGTACTAGTAGTACTAGTAGTATGTAGGTAGTACTGGTACAGTAGGTATGCTGCAGATTTTACAATTGGAAATTTTACTTCCCTTTTATCCCAAGGAAATTTAAATTATCTAAGATTAGCTGTAGTAATTATAATTGCAAATTAACTCCTTTTCAGGTAGGCCCCTACCGTTTTGTAGGTACTTTTTGCGTTGTCCGCCATTCTTAATACAGTGTAATTCGTGTTTAAGTCGGCTAATTATGTGATTAGTTAAATATGTAATTAAATCACTTCGTGAAACAGATTTTTAAGTATGATTAACGAATCATAATTACGGGAGGGTAGTCATACGATTAGCGATTTAATTATTATTAAAGTTAATCACGCTTCGTGAAACCGGCCCCAGGAATGTGTAATATAGGTATATAATACGTTCGAAGCTATAACCACATAATGAGAACAGGTATCGATACAAGGTGAAGGTGAGGGCAAGTTGGACTCATAGGGTCTATGTCCCCCAGGGTACTATCGGAAGGTAGCCTGGGTACGGTTCGATATATCGGAACGTACCCTGGTAACTATCTGATATGGTTAGGGTTAGTGTTAGGGATAGGGAGTAGGCGACTCCCTAGACTCGTTAGTGGAGTAGGCGAGGTACGGTCCGGCATATTAGATAGTACCAGGGTACGTTAATTCCGATATATCGAACCGTACCCAGGGTACCCTCCGATAGTACCCTGGCAGACATAGACCCTATCAGCGCAAGTTGGATGTACAGCGGTATTTCTGATGTCATCGTTATTGAGTTTCACGTAATAAATCATAGGCACGGAAATGTTGAATTTCTTGTGTTTTGAGCGAGTCATACTCCTCTATATTACACACTCCTGATAACATCAGAGGGCGCCACCAGGCGAACGACGCGGCGGGACGTCAACGGCGGCGCCACCTACCGATCGGTCCGAGGTTGGGCAGCGTGAAATGGCCGGAGAAGATCTCAAGTACGTATCCTCGCGACGGTCCCTCCACCTCCACCGCAAACCTGATTCCCATCTGTAACGCACGCACAATACATTACACACGCACGCACGCACGCACAATACATTACACACGCACGGCACAGCAGCGCACCGCGGCGGCCGGTGAACCACGCACGGCCACGCAGCACGCACGACGAGCAGCGCACGCACGCACGCACGCGACGCCACAGCACTCGCGACGGTCGCTCACCTCCAGCTGAAACCTGATCCCATCTGTAACGCACGGCAAATATCAATTACACACGCGACGCACCACCGCACGCGACACGCAACAATACATTACACACGCACGGCACGCACCGCAGCGCAACGGCACGCACGCACGGCACTGCACGCACCGCCAACGAATACATTACCACGCACGCACGCACGCACACGCGATGTCGCCCTCCAGCTCCAGCGCGCAAAAACGCTGATTCCGCATCTGTAACGCACCGCACTGGAATACATTACACACGCACGCACGCACAGCCACGCAACGCACGCACGCACGGCACGCACCGACATACATTACACACGCCACGCACGCAACGCACGCGAACGCACGCACTCACGCACGCACGCCACGCACGCACTCACGCAGGGCGCACGCCCACCGCCGACGGTCGCCTCAACCTCCACCAGCAGAACTGGATTCCCATCTGTAATCGGCACGCACAATGACATTACAACATGCCACGCACGCACGCACGGCACGAATACATTACACACCACCGCACAATAGCATTACAACACCACGCACGCACACATGAACAATTACATCACGCACGGAGCAACGCACGCGACGCACGCACGCCACGCACCGCAACGAATACGTTATACACGCACGAATACATTGACAGCA